AGGTTCAGCCAAGAAAAGAGGATGCGATAGATTACTACAACTACAAAAGATGGTATTCTGTGGTTTTATTGGCAAGCTGTGATCACAGGTAAATTTATGAGTATATTTTATTGTATAGATATGTACATGTATTATATTTCTTCATACTTTGCAGATCAAAATTTACGTATTTAAATATTGGATCAACTGGGAAAAATAATGACTTGTACATATTTGAAAGAAGTTCGTTAAAGCATTTCCATGAAAGTGCTGATATTTTTGTACAAAATAGCAAAGTTATTAACGGCGTCAATGTGCCTGTGCTACTTATTGGCGATTCTGCCTTTCGTTTATCGCGCCACATGATGAAACCATACCCATATGTAGCTAATCAACCGGCTGTTGAAAAACTCTACAACTATCGACTTTCCAAATGTCGTCGACTGATCGAAAATGCTTTCGGGCAGCTGAAAGCCCGTTCCCGAAGAATAGGCAGAGGTTTACAGGTAGCGCCTAAAAATGTCAACATTGTTATAAGAGCATGCTGTATTTTGCACAATTTTTTAAAAACTGAGAATGACGAAGTTTCTTCCGTCTGGCTGCAAGACTCTGCAGAAGACGCAGCAACCAGAAATCAACCCAATCAATCTACAAGGATTGGAAACAATGACCAACTAGCAGCGACTATTCGAAATGCCATGGCTATGAGTTTTGGTAAGTATGAAATACTTTTATTATGCATTTAATAGTAGTAATATTAAAAAAATTTTTATTGGTATTGAATTCATTTTAGTTTAACACTGTCAGTAGTTCTCAATTCAACCGTTTTAAGTTGCAAAAAGTACTGCTTTGAAATTTTCAAACTGTTATTTTTTGCAACTTAAAACGGTTGAATTTAGAACTACTGACAATGTTGAGATTAAGCAACTGCAAAAAGTTATAGCACCTTTTTCATTTTGGCCAGTTTTGACTATCTACACCCCGCGACAAAAGATAGCACACCAACATTTTTACCAGTTTTGACTACTTTTCTTTTGCCTTTTTAAGGTTCTTTATTTTTATATAAAAGTATAGCTCTTTATCTAATAAATACCATATAAATCTAAATTTCAGACTTTGTTCAAAAATTATAAAAATTTCACAAACTTTTCATCCCAATTCCAAGCATTTTAATTTTAATTTCTAGAATAATTTTTGGTATGCAGTTTTATAGCTTATTAAATTCTAGTATAATAAAGTGCAAGTTAAAAGTTGCTAAAAAATCGCGTTGATTTTTGATAATTTTTTTTTCTGACGGTGGTATGCATTCTTTTCCATATAAAAAATTGCTTTTGTTGTGGTTAATACCTTGCCGTCTTCTGCCACTGTTTTTAGCAACGCAGTTTGCTCTTTTGCAAGTTTAACCACCTCACCCATATAATTTCGTTTTCTTGCAGAGGAAGAGGTAGCTGCAGCCACGGAGGTGGACGGCATATCGTCTGATGAGAGTGGCGCTGACATTGGCGACGACATTGGAGGTGACGGCTGGCGGCTGAGGCATGGTGTCGACGGTGCAGGAACCGGCGAAGAGGGCGGAATAGACGATGGCAATGGTGGCACTGCTGTTGACGATATATTCTAAAAATAAAAAGTTGTAAACATATTTTATTTTATTAAAATATACGCATTGAATTCAAGTTTACCATAGAAAAAGACTCCAAAATTTCTGCATCGTTCGCTGGTGTGCATCCTATAATTTTATGGACATCATCGTAGTGCTTCCAAAGCGAGGGACTTCCACCAGACGGACCAATTTTTTTCTTCTCTTCTCTGCAATTGTAATCATGCAAATGATGGTAAAAATGGTAATGCGGATGGGAAGTGTTTAGTTATTTGTACAACGATTTTGCTGTAAGGGGCGGAGGGGTTTGGGAACCTGCCCCCCCAATCCCCCTTTAAAAAAAGGGAAGGAACGCCCTTTTTTGAAAAATTCCCCCCCCCCCCCCTCACCCCCCACAGGCCCCGTGGGAGATGTGTGATAATAGGGGAAATTGGGATTTTTCGCAAAGGAAAAGCAAAGTTTTTCAACGAAAAAAATTATAACCCACACTAAGTAGAATTCTCCTTTCTGTTTTGCCGTAGAAGAGGGGCTGAACACCTTTTAGAGAGAACACCTTTCTGCGCAGGCGGCCTTCGGCATAATTCGCCAAAAATACACATTTCAAACCAAAATTTTTACCTTTGGCAGAGAACTTCTTTCTGCTTAGGCGGCCTTCGGCATATTTCGCAACCGAAATTATTTATAAATTAGTGCACAGATAGAGTAACATTTTTTTTCTAAATAATGCGTAGACTCTTGTCTAGAAGTGTGTAAAAGTTGTTTGATTCGAGTCACGCGTTTGAGCACAGAAACACAAAATCGTTTTACAAATAACTAAAACTTATCCACGCGAATAACTAACATAAATACCTATATTTTTGGGTCATATTCCTTATTTTCCCGTGCAATTCCTTTGGAGTATATTTGGAGGCCATTTGAATGGACATCTCCGTATAGATGTGGACGTTTCGCTTAGCGCGCCGCAGGTCACCAGAATACTCGGCCCATAGTTCCAGGAGCACTTTTTCATCGCTGGTGCTCCAAGTGCTGCGCTTTTTGTTGTCGGACATCTGAAATTGGAAAATATGTATTTAATAATTAGTTTTGCTCATATTTTAACACAATATTGTGAAAACTTACCGCTGATTTTATTTGTTTGCCGCTTTTTCATTTGTTTTCATCAAACTTTCGTGCTGTCAATCGAAATTACCATTCACAATAGTAAATAGATGTCAATTTTGGACGGAGTTGCCAAATTGAAACTAGCAAAATCAGTTTAAATGCAAACATATTAAGTGCATTTACAGCAAGCCTATTTGCATTTGGAAGGAGTTAATGCAACTAAAGGCTGATTATGCAAATAAGCGAGCCCGTTTGTCTAGGCTTTTAGCGACATACCTGATAGCTTTTGGATGAATCTAGATATTGAAACCGTTATAGCAATGCATGTTTTAAAATATACTTACAATAATTTTTGTAGTTTCAGTGTTGGTCAGAAGGTCGTATTTTGTTTCTTTAAGAAATTAAGTAAAAGGCTTTTATTTGGTAACTAAATTATATGAATCGATTTCGGTCGGATCGATTATTTTTATTTCGATTCGAATCGATTCAAACATTGAATTTTTTTCTATTTCGCTCTCGCATTGAAACATATGATTTTGAAATCGACGCTTTGCTCGATGCTCTTTGTTCGCCGCTCCACTATATTGTTAGCCTTACGTTTAAACATAAAAGAAATGTGTTCGCTACACGCCATGGGGCCAGGGGTGGACACCGGCGTAGTTACAAGAACATAGGAGAAGAAAATGTTCAAGGCCTTTTATGCTAGTGCCCGGCTATGAACAGAAAAAGATTATCTACCACACTGGAAAAATCATTATTTAAAGACCTCGCAGTATCTTATAGGTGGAAATATGAGTTTTGGTAAATTAATAACTTCAAAAGTGTAGTCATCTACTTTAGAGCTGGTGTTGGCAGCACGAAGAGAAGCTGATCTTAATTTGGTGTTAAAACAAAACTAAAACTTCAATATATGTATATAGCATGATACTGAGAACAACTTTAAGCTCCGTCCAAGTAGGGAACTAAATACTCCTAAGAACCGTTCGATACGAAACGAGGCAAGACAAGGCTACTCATTTCGCAAATTCGTGCGTACATATAATTCTTCAATCTGATGTTCGAAAGGGAAACACAAAGTCGCTGGATTATCCAGAAAATACTGGGATGGTTGATCTCCACACGAGGGCCGTCAGCAGAGGATGTTGCAGCTTAGAGAAAAAGGCAAAAATGGCTGGTCTATGAACGAAAAAAGGTCCCTCCGATCCCCGGGTGCATGCGCTCTTATGTACATACCTCACTGCCTCGCAGATATTTCCGCCTGGAAAACGCATGCGAAAATTTTCTCTGTACCTACTCCGCATTCTGTTTTTGATCCGTCAGCAAATACAGGTATGCCCTCCTGTATCCGGTCAGCTCGGCTTCTGAATATTGCACGTGGCTTGTTGTTGGGTCGTAAGAAAGCGCTTCTAACTCAGTTGGCATTCTACTTAGGATGCAATTGTGTCGTAATTTTTATATCCGAGCGCACTTGTGCACAAGGGTATATTAACTTTGTTCACATAACGGTTCTTTGTAACAGCCAAAAGTAATCGAGATAGATATAGACAAATGTATACATAAATGCTCAGAATGAATATAGAATTCGATTAAGCTATGCCTGTCTGTCCGTCCGTGTACACGGTAACTCGAGCAAAAACTGAGATATCTCAACGAAATTCTGTATGTAGGTTTCCCTTTACCCAAGGTAGATTGGCATTGAAAATGGGCGAAATCGGACTGTAACCACGCCCACTTCCCATATAACGGTATTTTCGAAAAATGCGGAAACTTCGATATTTCAATAAATATGGGATCCAAATTGTTGAAAATTAGTAGGTGAAGTCGAATTTCAGTAAAAAATAGCATTATTATGAAATTTTTGGAAAATGGGCGTGACCCCGCCCACTTATGATGAAATACTGTATTTCAGTAGACACTCCACCAATGCATCCCAAACTCGGTAGGAGCCTTCCCGAGAGCATAGCTAAGATATTTTTTGAAAATCTTTAAAATCGGGCAATAACCGGGATTATTATACATTTATGGATAATGGGCGTGGTGCCGCCCCTTTATGACCACAAATGTGTATCTCGGTAAATGATTCATCAGTTTATATCAAACTCGGCGCACTTAATAACCTTTGTACAAGGAAGAAATTCGTTGAAAATTAGTCTAATCGGACTAAAATTACACCCACTTCCCATCTAACGGTAAATTTCAGACATCCGAAAACTCCGATATTCCAATTACCGAGGACGCTAATTTACTCCAAGTTAATAGTTACAACAATCTCTTAACAATAAATAAGACTGCTATAGACGTATAGGAATTAAGCGGGGCACCGCCCACTTTATAACTACAAGGTGTAGATTTCTACCAAACTTGGATCAATTATTTCATTAACACTAATTCAGTATATTATCGAAAAAGTTTGAAATCGGGAAGAACCCCCTGCTTATCATGAAAATGTAGTTTAGAGAAAGTTGATCCGACGATATTTGATACCTGAGCCGGGTATATAAAGTTCGGTTTCGCCCGGAATTATACTTCTTTACTTGTTTTTTTAGCATCTGACATTTCACTAAAAACAGCTGTGGGTGCACAGTAAATCGAGCCTCCGTTTGACAGGATCTGATTGCTCTCATTGCACTAACAGGAGTTCCGAATATCGGGTTTTAGGTACACCTGGCAACAATGCCAGAACTCCATAAAAAGTAAGTGTCGGACTTTTTATCCTTATTATCTATCTCGTACGATAGGCCGCACGAACGATTCGTCTGCAGACGTCATCGCCTCTCGTTGTTTTTATACCCGAGCGCACTTGTGCATAAGGGTATATTAACTTCGTTCGGATAACAGTTGTTTGTAACAGACAACAGACAATAACATCGGACAATAACCACGCCCACGTCCCATATAACGGAAATTTGGAGAAATACAAAATCTTCGATAAATCAGTAAATATTGAAGCTAATTTATTCAAAATTGATGCTTGCAACAATTATTTACCAAGAAATACGTTTATGATAAAATTTGGAAAATGGGCATGGCACCGCCCACTTATGATCACATATACATATGTATCTCGATAACCGATCTACCAATTTGTACCACACTCGGTATGGTTATTGTGCTTGCCACACAAAAGCAAAACGTTGAAAATTATTGAAATCGGACTAAAATAACGGCCGCTTTTCATATAAATTTCAGAAATGTAAAAATTGTAGCTTTCGGAAAGGTGAAAATCATATATTTAATACTTGCGCCGGGTATTTAATGTTCGGCTCCACCCGAACTTAGACTTTCTTACTTGTTTACATAGCGATCGTTTGGCTACATAGAGGGCCACCGACGTTTTTCTTGCTCGCTACGCAGTGTGTAAGCTCCAAAAAAATGAAAGGACTAAGTGTTGAAAGGGTTGGATAACCTTGAGATAAACAACTATAGTAACTTTTCAAAGGAGAGCGGGATTTGTCAAGGTTTTTTGGTCCCGACCAATACGAACAACCGCTTGTAGTGCCATTAAAAAACAAAAGAAGTATATAATAAGGGAATTTTCTCTATGTTTTCAGCCGTAACCTAATGGATGTTTCTCCTGATCATTTCTTAACTTAAAGCTTAAACAGACAGCAGCGTTGATCCGGACTAACTCGGACTCAACTACAGTTAATTCCCGAGTTGATCCGGATCAACGCTGCCGTCTGTTTATGCTTTTATAGTATGTTCACATACAAATATAATGTCAATCAAAGCTCGTTTTTTAATCAACCCGTTTACTAGTGCTGGAAGATACATTGATATTATATCGATACATCGATGTTTTTGAATTTATTTCAAACTTCGAGTTTTTTTCGATGTTGGATGTTTTTCTCTATAATCATCACATAGGTAAGTGAAAGTCTACGAGCGCAATTTTAATAGATAAATAAAGCTCATTAAATAGAAATTATTAATTCTTTAGGTTATTGGTGTTGGCACAACTTGAAATCTTTAAGTCACAGGCTTCTTTTTAGGATTGTATTTATGTGTGTGTTTTCAATGAAAATATTTCATCGTATGTATATGTATGAATATAAATGTGTTTTTGAACATAGATTCCAATAATTCGAATTCTATTTTACTGAAATCTTAATATGAATTATTAAGAACTCATTGATCTTGTATGGTTGTGAAATTAAAGAGACTGATGGTTTGCATGTCTGCGTTAATGAATTCAGCCAACATTTAAAAAATTCGCCATTTAAAAAGATCGATGCATCGATACATCGATGTTGCTCCGCCAAAAACATCGAAACATCGACGTGCGTAAACATCGATGTTTTTTCCAACACTACCGTTTACACAGGCAAATCTCAGATTATTAGCAGTCAAATTTGTTGTGCTTATTATTCTCACATCTCAAGGAAAAGTTATGTTTCTTCTCCGTGCCACCGTAATCACGTTTTTCTGCTATATTAAGCAATATAAATATATTTTAAATTAACACTTTATTAAAAATACCCTTACAAACCTCTTTTCCTTGCTAGCATCCATTTTTGTTTACTTTTACATTTGGAGTTAAAGGGCTAACTACAATATGAATAAGCTGCCGTAACTGACTGTCAGAAAATGAACGAAAAGTCTGTCAAATGCATAAGCAACGTAGTGTAGACTTTTAGGTGGCTATATTTTACTTACATGAGTTCAGTGTTGCCACATTTAATTAGATATAACAATAGCCACTATCAAGCAGTTTGGTGTAGATCACACAATTATAGTAACCTAGAAACGCCGAAGAACTATTCGCCTTGCGAAACTTTCAGGGTAACCAGGTGTTTCTGTAAAAGGAAACGCTTACGGCCCACTTCTTAATGTGGAACCAGAACTTCTTTTGACCAGTGTTACATGTAAGACTGAATCGAAAAAGTTACCATGTTAAAAATAAGTTACAAAATTACCAAATATGATAAATAAAGAAAAAAATTACCAATGACGGTAAAAAAATTGCAATGCGGCAACACTGCATGTGTTACATATGTACATACATACGTACGAGGACAAACAACTGATTCCGTACGGAAGGTGCGATCAGTTTCGCTCTTTCCTTAAGCAAATGACGTTTGGTGAAACTTGACGAAACTTGATGTTAAGCACATTATAGTTTCAGAATAGGATTTATGTGTATTCGCACGTTTGCATACGCTTGCTTATTCATATTATAGTTAGCCCTTAAGCTTGAAAATGAGGATAACCA